GTGCGAGTAAGGCTGCCAAGCCTACTATCGGTGATATTCGAGAATTGAACAAGCTTGTTAGGATTTTGAAGTCTACTGAAGTAGAACTGCGTTTTTGGCCGCTGAAAGGAAATCTCAGAATCCTCGGTTACCCTGATGCTTCCTACAGGAACAATGATGACAAATCATCTCAGAGAGCACATGTTATTTTCCTTGCTGAAGATCGAAATCCAAAGCTAAAGGGAATGAAACAATCAGCAGCAGCTGCTTCTTCCAAGAAGAACGATTTCTCTGAATCCTCTATTAAGGAAACATCCTCGAGAGGTAGCCTGGTGGATTATGAGTCTCACAAGATTACGACAACCACAATGTCCACAACAGTGGCAGAGCTTAACGCACTGATGCGTTGCTTTGGTACTTGCCTGTTCCTCAAGGGACTTTGGGCAGATCTCTCATCAGAGACCGTACCCATACATATCAGAACAGATGCGAACAATCTTGTGACAACAGCAGGCACGACACACCTTCCAGAGCAGAAGGAAACTCACCACCTCATTCAGATGCTTCGTAAGGAATCCAACTCTGGATCTTTAGATGACCTAGCTCATGTAAGCTCGAAGTACTGCCTAGCTGATGCATTAACAAAGCACTCGGCGCAACCTGATGAGCTTATCAAGGCTCTGGAAACAGGGAATTTACCAGAAACAGACATTCATCCACCCTTCCGTGAACTTCTTCAACATAAAGCTTTCACTGTTCGGTGGATCATAGACAATCTCAAGAATGCCGCCACAGCGGTAGCCTTCCTTGGAATTGATATCTCAACAGAGATTTACCGATTATTTTACTGCCAAGGAATATGGTGGTAGTCTCGTTTGCTGGTAGCACAACCATGTGCTGGATTTTCTATTTAGACTGTTTTCCGTCTAAAAGAAAATTTGTGTCTGCGAGCTGCGTTTTCATTAAGATCGGACATGTTCATGAGAATTATATGTTCTGTATCATCCGCAGCCGCTTTCAGCCTCGAGCCTCACAGCAATCAGCCTTTCGGGCTAACCAAGCGTTCCTGATCCTGTTTGGTCATTGTGCCGTAATGAGCACACGATCAAACTTCCGTAGCCGTGATGGACACGCCCTACCCAGGGCAGTGCAGGCGTACCATGAGCGACATCCACACATGGATAGCTCGTACCCCGAGTCTCGTCGGGAAGCATCACGTCGAAACACCGAACACGGTGGACACCGAATTCACAAACGTGAGAAAAATCACGAGCCTCAATTCATCATCATGGGTCACCAACAGGTGTTCAATCCGCATCCAAGAGATCTTGCTCAATTGATCTCACGATATGGCCATGCGAGTGGAGCAAGGCTCACTCTAAACTCCAGACATGGAGTCAGGCTCTACGAAGGAGTCCTTCAAGGACCATGGGACAACAGTCCCCTTGTATACTGGGATAACAACGTCGGTAATCACGCTCGTGATCCACGCCAGTTCTGTACGATGCTTGCACATCACCTTCAGACAGGCCTCCCACCGGAGGTAGAACAATGTGTGAGCCTTGATGGATCCGGAGAATATGACTATTCCTCCTCAGTGCCAAAACTGGCAGATGTAACAGGTCTCTCACCAGAGATGTGCTTCCACATTCTTTCCAAGACCAACAGAGTCGGAAGGTGGTTGGCACACTCAACAAGACACCTTCAGAACCAGCGCCCAGATCTCTTTGCTGGCCAACACAATTATCTTCTGGACATGTTCAAGTTGGCCGATGCAGAGCTCGCACAGTATACACCACAAGAGATCGCGCTTGGTGTCCTCCTCAACACTAAGTCTAGGTTTGTGGTCACCATGGTTTATAACAAAGATGGCAAGGCCGAAACCACAGATGCCGCCGTTAACATCCCACCGGATGCAAATGTGTTGACCATGAGCAAAATTTTCCTTTCGGCAGTGGGAGGACACGGTTCACGACGAACTCTACCAAGAGCTGAAGAACCAGATCCTGAAGAAGAGAGACCAAGGTCACACATGACCATCTCAGACTTCATGGCAACGGGGAGCAATCCAGTGCAGTCCCGTGCACAGCGTCTCTCCACTAACGCGCCGAGGCCCGTCGGCATGGAGGATTTTGTTCGACAGAACAACCCTTGTTACATCATGCATGCCACGGACCTACAGGCATTATCCTCAATCCTGAGGCACGGTCTGGTACCATCAAACCTCCTAGCGCAGGTGGTTACAGCACCAGATTTCCAAGCTCTCGTGAATGAAAACAGTCGTTCCAACAGGGACACTGTTCAGTTCTCAACGCTAAACCTGGCGAATCCCAATCCGACCATGTTGCGTGCCAATAAGGCACTGCTTCTGGTATTCGATGCAAATAACGTAGTGAACGAGGTCACAAACCTGTGGCAGTCGCAAGTAGGGATGTTTGCTACACCAGATGTAGTGCATGCCCGTACTCTTAGCGCCGTATTCGCACCCTCTGAAACACTCTGGGTATCATCGCAATACGATGAGCTCAAGAGCATCGGACCATGGTGGGCAGACCATTGCTCCGAACAGATGCCGTCAGCGACTTACGAGTCGAAGAAATGGTGCGCAAATTACGGCCGAGAAATCGAATCGGCACTTCGAAAAGTGGCAAGGCGAAATCTGCCACCAGAGCCTCCCAAGGCTAGATCTTCTCACAAGAAGTCTTTTTCTCTGCCAAAGACAGAGGCTGACACAGCTCCAAACCTGGAGCAAACCGCTTCTGCAGGTGAGGTACCTCCGAAAACGGAGACTACTGCAAAGGAGATCCATCCGAGATCCAAGCTCGCCCGGCAGGCCGAGGCTGACAAGGATCCGGACAGTCTTATGGGACAGCTCTGGAACTCCGACGGCACCAGAAGCGCCACCGAAGTTCTTAAGATAACGACAGGTCACAAACCTCCAGAACCTGTTCAGGATACTTCCGCCAACGTAGTTCCTCCCAAGGAAGAATCTTCTGGAACAGAGACGGAACCTGAGGAACCGGATCCTAACCAGGATCGTGACGAAGAATCAGACGATGAGTCGGCATCAAGCGAAAAGAGCTCAAAATCTTCGTCATCCTCAGAACTCCGAGTTGATGTTAATCCGTCTCACAAGACGAACTCTGCACCTGCAGCGTCGGAGGAGAAGAAAGAATCTCCCACGGAAGAGATCACAGAGAAACTTAAGAAGGTCAAACTTGACCAACCAAAGCCTGAAGCAGAATATGTTCAGAGTTCAGACGAAGAGCCACAGAAACCAAATTCTCCTAAAAAGGAGAAGGAAAAATTTCTAGTTCTCTTCGATCCTGAAACAGAAAGTTATTATCGAGTCAACAGAAGCAAGCTCAACCTCGAATACGAGGAACCTGCTGATGAGGAAGATCTCGTAAGAGAACATGAGCGCATCAGCGCTCGACTTCGAGAAAATCGCAAGCACCGAATCTCGAAGTCATCGTCTAACCCGGCTATGCAACAGGAAATGAAAGAGAGAATCTGGGTTAGTCGATGGAATCGAAAAATCCGAAGTCCACTCATGATCAAGGATTCTGAGGCTCCTGACGAAGAGGAGTGGGACAGACCCAGAGATTCGGCATCTTCCTCCTCTGCACCTCCTACCAAGGAGAGATTTGTAGGAGTACGCAGGACAGCCATGAGTCTTAACCAAAGGATACGGCTGATGACACGACCAGATAATCCTCTCTGCGATCTTTGCAATCAGCCTACAGGCTATTTTTGCTATTCCTGTGGTACGATTGTATGTGCAGACTGTCGACTTACCCCACAGGGTAAACAACAGATGTGCGAGTGCATCTTGCCAATCGATTGCCTCGAGACCTCTAAAGTGTCAGCAGGAATGATCTCAGAAGAGCGTCAGGTTTTATACGAGGCCATCCTCACACATGAGGACGTAGATTTGGCAGTCCAGAAAATCAACATGTATTGCGACCACGCAAGGAATTCGTTCATGAGAGCCCATCCAGGCGTTGATCCATGTAGCTTTGATGATATTAGGAATAATCCTCCTAATACTTACACCAGCTCCACAGAGGCTCCAACCCTGGAGGAATACAAGAGCATCAACAAGGGTCACATCAATATCAAGGACTCCAGAACAAGCCACCCGGCGTCTTTTCTCTCTCTTACTGGCTACGAAGACAAACTGGTGCTCGACGCACATTACGAGATAGTTCGTAATAGGATGGCCGGTGTTAACGAAAAGAGAGAATACATAGAGGGCTCAAACCCAGACAGCGTATCACTAAGCCTAGTGGTATGCAACTGGGGAAATATGGATCGAGCGCCGGTGCCAGCAGGGAATCCCAAAAAGAAACTCAAACCTGAGAAGGGATTCGATTACCACCCTCTTATTGACATGTGCTTCAACAATTCAGCACATATTACCCTCGTACTCGAGGCAGGAGCACTTGCGTCAAAGTATTCGATCGCAACCATGCGACAACATGAATACAGAGGGATGCTAATCCATTCTCCTCCCAAGGAGCCTGAGGCACCCTCAATGTATATTGGAGTCAAGGGTGACCCAACAACAGACATCTCTCTCGTCCACCACTTTTACCGTCACCGAACAATGAAGCCTAAGGCTGGTGGTCCCAAGAAGCGACTGTGGGCATGCCACGGTGCGGTATGCCGCCTCACCTTTGGGTACCACAGTACCATCAAGGAGGCAAAAGAATGGGTCCACCCATATTCCGGCCAGAGGATGACGAGAGATGAGTACATGAAGATTATCGGATACTTTAGTGACGCGGCGGGTTTAGGAAGTTAGCAGCAAGTTAAAACACACTTATTTGCAAGTTAAAATGAAGTTAGAGATGGACTTATAACTTATTTGTAACTCGCTAACTTGTTGCTAAGTTTTTTGATGGTTTTTCTGCAGTTACAGACACTCAATCGTTTTTAGCTGGAATTGGCCTAACTCAACCGACAGAAGCAGTCAAATGAAGAAGATTTCGTTTTGTCCTCAGCACACGCCAATGCCACTAATGCAAGAGTGAGACAACGACTTGACCGTCAGCATTCCTTGTTTTCCTAGCGAAAGAAACTTGGTGCACTCGAGACAGGTTTGCGATGTCCAGCAAAGCCAAAGGTTTATCAGACGGGTGCCACTCCGTGCATCCGTCCTCTCTGGCATTCCGGTTGATGCTCGCGGCTATCAACGGCTCTACCAGCAGGAAGCTTCCAGGTTGCAGGGTTTTCGACTGAGCAGAAACAGCCAGGGCCCCCCAAACCAAGACTGCCAGTTCAGGCGACAGCACGAAGTAGTCTTCCGACTTTGCCGTGAGGCCATGACTGCAGGCTGTCTTCGCTAGCTTAGGAGAAGTGGAGCAGCTCAGCACAGCAGCCAAGTCCGGGCAGTCCACTGTCGCACCCTGTAGCGTGGCGTCGGAACTGTGGACATCCGCGTGTATGTCGCCTGTGGCCAGCTCAAGCAGACAGGACTTGTTGAACTGCGTGAGATTTCGCACATTGCTTGCAACTTGCTTGAATGCTCTGTGTTTCCTTTCGCAAGCGAAACAGTCTACGAGGCGGTGCCATCTGGCGCACTGCTCGCGAATATGGAGGCCGAAGTGCATCTTGGGACGGTGCTGCCGCCCGTGTGCAAGATCGAACCTCCGCATGTGGTCTGCTTGCAGCCCAAGTAAGTTGGTGCTGTGAGACACATCTGCTTTGGATCGCAAGATGCAGATGCACACACGGTTCAAGGCCAGGAGCGAATCCAAGACAGCGTCCAAAGACAAGACGTTGCCCCGGAGGATCTCTTCGCCAAAGCGCACACAGAGGGGTAGGGCAACTAGGCACATCCTCGCATCCCCCCGAAAGTCATGGCCCTTTTTCCACAGGTGTTCGGAAAAGTAACCGCAGACTTGTGGCATGGCCGTGCCAGCTGCAGGGCAGGCAGTCCAACCTGCTTTCACGTAGGCGTGGACATGTCCAAGGTTGACGTCGCTGTTGTCGAGTAGAGCAGTATACCAGAGGCCGAGCTCTTGTGCCACGACACCGTTGCTCCAATAGGCATGCATGGCGTCAACAGCACAATCCTCCAGTTCTGCCCAGCCAGACAGAGCAGGCGAAGCGAGGAAGGACTTGCTGAGTTCCTCGAGTTTCCATCCCAGTAACTTTTCAGCCTCCTGCAGCTTCGTGGTTGTGGAGCTCAAGCTATCCAGCTTCTGGCGAATCTCGCAGAGGTCCGCGTGTGAGAGTGGCCGCAGGCGGGTTATGTCCGAATTCGCAATGTCCACGAAGCTAGCCGGTCTCGCCCCGCCTAGACTGACCACGTTGGCACATTTGAAACATGGCCGGTAACCGCTGGATCCTTTCCATCCGGACAAAGCACGCATGCCCTCGTGATCCGCCAACATCAGCACTCTGTCGATGAACAGCAGCTCCGGGCCCGAATCAAGCGAGATGACCATGCCGTCTTGAGTGTCGGAGCGAATTTGCTCTAGGAGGCCTCGCACGATCGCGGCAAGGCCGCCCTTGCATCTTTGGATGTCTTTGGAACGGATCACGCAGAGTGTCATCCATGAAGCCTCCAAGTGCAAGGGCATGTGCAGGAAGCTGACATAGAACATGCAACTCTTACGTGCCGTGTCCGGACTGAGCACATTGCCAGGCGTGCATTCGTCGGAATAGAAGATCATCGTGAGATGTCGCCTCTGAGACACAGCTCGGCGGAAGTGACCACACTCCTGTGCTTTCGCCTCTAAGATAGTAGGCAGGTGCAGGAAATGCAACCTGACTTCACTGGAAGCCTTGCCGTGCATTCGCAAGACTCTTAGAGCTGGCAGCGCTTCTGCGTAAAGGTTTTCTGCTCTAGACGCCGTGCGGCTTCCTTTGCCATCCTCTCGAACCACAGAGAGGATCTGCCTACACTGGTTCTTCGTAAGAGAAGTAACCTGCCGCAGAAGCTGGTACTGCTCGCAGGGCGGAGCTTCTGCATCCCATTTCCTTTTCCGCTCACTGCTGGCAGCAGCCATGCATGACTGCAGGGAAGTCGGCGTGACTACACGAGGAGCTTGCGATGAGCGGTGAAGAACGGTCACTTATATGTTTTATCTACAGAAGCTTCCATCCATTAGGGCAAGGCTTTCTATACAGATCTTTACCCCTGACTGTACACCATCAATATTTTTTCTACATAATTTGCAGTTGAGGGTGTTACAAGGGTTCAGGGGTTTGGGGTCTATATAGGCATCGGGGATATATAAGGGCTGAGTGAGGGTTTGGAGGGTCAGCCTACATACTGAGCCTGTGTAAGAGGGCTACAAGAGTAGCGTATAGGCATAGAAGAGTTTGACTTCCTGCACAAGGAAAGAGCAAGCAGGAGGCTACGGCTGTTTTGCAAAACTGTCGCCGCAAGGTAACGGAGCATTTCTTTCCACGGCATTGTCCAGTTGCTGAGGGCATCTGCTAATTAATGCTTCAGTGTGATATATCACAGAGAGCATATATGAAAGCTAGCTGGCTTGCACAGAATTTCAACCGTGCCGCTCTGCAAATTCCAGGCAGCTCGCAGCATCACAGGTGATGTTTTTCAAGGTCTTGATCGTGTAGATGAAGACGGGTTCAGAGCCGGTCTCGAAAGCAAGGATGAATTGCTGAACCTTCTCGAGCACTTGCACGTGGTCCCTCATCTTCTGCTCGAGCTCCACAGACAGCCTGTGCTGAATGCTGCGGCAGGAGTCCAGCAGCACATTTGTTCGGACCTTGTACTTGTGCTGTTTTGTCGTGAGCTTTTGCCCTCGGCAAGCCACGGGTTGCGGAGAGTCCGTCTTGTCGAAGAAGAGGGGTCGCGGCTTGCTCGGCTCAGTGTCCAGGAAGAAGCCCAAGCCCTCGTCGTCCAAGCCGGGTGAGTCGCACTCCACCATGTCGCGGCCAGCAGAAGTTCTGCTTCCGGAAGACTGCAGCAAGCCGGCTTCGTCCGGCTTACGTTTCCCTTTTGCCAGGCCGGCACGGATGTCCCGGACAACGAGGACCTGCACGATGCTTTGAGCGAGGGTCCTGGGTTAAAAAGGGATATATAGAGCTAGACAAATTGAGGTTATATGTACCTATTTTGGACAGCAGTACAGGAGCCTCCTCGCCCACCACCTCCATGCTGCTGAGAACGTGTGCGTGTGCGGGAGGGGGCCTCCTGTCTACAAAAGGTTTGAGTCCGACTTTGAGCCCATGCATGACAAGTGTGAAGCAGGGCAGCAAAGCTTCAACTGCTATTTACAGAGGGCAGCTAGCATCGCTGATTTTGCGTGTCTCTCCCGTGCGTGTCTTCTCGTGCCTTCACTTATAAACCCCAATGGTGGCGGGATCTACAAGCAGCCGCCGTGATGTACAACGGGCAAGGCTTGAATGCATGCAATCGAATTATAGGACAAAGTGTCCCCTAAACAGTTCAGGCGCCGCCCACAGCACCTTTGCCGCGAAGCCTCTTGGACGGGCCTGTGTTGGCACCCTCAGCGGCGCGTTTCTTGGGCTCTGCCTTTGGCAGAGCAGTTTTCGCAACCCTAGCGGTCGTAGCAACCTGCTGGAGCAAGACCTTGAGCTCCGCTGCGTCGTAAGGCAAGGAGAGCGGCTGGAGTTCCTGCTGCCCCTGTTCGGCGGTCTTGCCTGCGTTGTTCTGTTTCTCGAAGTCAGACAACAGCTGCTGGGACTGAGCCTTCCAGTCTGACAGCTTGCGAAACTGTGTTTCCGCAACCTTCCGGACTTCTTGACAGAGGAGCTTCTCCTGACGTGATGGTTGCATCTCTGTTTGGGCTTCAGAAGATTTAAGGCTTCATGAAGAAGAGAGAGAGAGAGAGAGAGAGAGAGAGAGAGAGAGAGAGAGAGAGAGAGAGAGAGAGAGAGAGAGAGAGAGAGAGAGAGAGAGAGAGAGAGAGAGAGAGAGAGAGAGAGGAGAGAGAGAGAGAGAGAGAGAGAGAGAGAGAGAGAGAGAGAGAGAGAGAGAGAGAGAGAGAGAGAGAGAGAGAGAGAGAGAGAGAGAGGAGAGAGAGAGAGAGGGAGAGAGAGGGAGAGAGAGAGAGAGAGAGAGAGAGAGGGGGAGAGAGAGGGGGAGAGGGAGGGGGAGAGGGAGAGGGAGAGGGAGAGGGAGAGGGAGAGGGAGAGGGAGAGGGAGAGGGAGAGAGAAGCGGAGAATCACTTGCATGCAGCCATGCTTGTCGCCAACGAACTTGGCCAAGAGCTTCTCCAAGGAGCTCTGCTGCGTGGTGAGGGAACCGAGGGACTTCGCGGCCAGGGCGTTGAGCTTCGCGTTCTGTTGGTAGGTTCTTTTGTTCTGCTTGGCGAAGTCCTGCGGTTTCTCTTCCTTGCTGGCTGAGGCAGGAGCCGGCAAGTCCAAGTCCTCGGCCGTCTTGTTCTTGCCCTTGGCCTGCTTCTTGGCCGTGGCCTGGCGTTCTTGGTCAAGGAGAGTTTGGCGAACTTTCTCAACTGTTTCGGACCAACTGATGGTTTTGATTGGCACACAGTAGAGGTCGCCCAAGACTTCGTTCTCTTCCTTGGGGCAGTTCTTCACTTTGTCGGTGTCGAAGCCTTGCTTTTCCCAAACGGAGAGCGGCAAGAACTTGCCCTCGAGCTCCTGCTTGAAGGTGGTGGTCCTCTTCTCTGCCAGTGTAGTGACCAAGGAAGCCCGGACAGTGGTCCAGGAACAGGACTTGTCCTTTGCGAGCTCCGTTCGCTGCTGAGCCAGGTCAGCGAAGAACTTCGTAGTCTCTTCCGAAGAGAGCTGCTTGAAGTCTTCCGGCAGCTCGCCAAGGTTCCGGTACAGGGCCTTGAGAGAGGCCGCACAATGGCGGCACTCGAAGGCTTCGCGGTGCCAGCGCCCTTCTGTGGCAGGGTACTGCAGCCTGCAGTACTTGCAGACTTCCTTCTCGTCTTGGTTGGGCTGGGCAAGCTGGAGGGCCATGGCTCGAGGGAGCACAGACCAAAGAAACAGGAGGCGGGTCTTGAACAAAAAGGCTGCTGGAGCAACAGCGGCGATTGCGAGAAAGCAGCATTTCAAGCATGACGGCGCCAAAGCCGGCGGACACATGGCGTTGCTGACCGCGGGAGAACGGCGGACACCGGCGGACACCCAGGCTCTGGACAAGGGTCTGGGTTACTATACCGGCGGACACGGGCGGACACGGATATATCCTACACAGCAAAAGCACGGGTGCGGCGGACACCTGCGGCGGACACTCGTCCGGGGAGTCTTGGGGTCCGGCGGACACAGGCGGACACAGGCGGACATCTGGCGGACACACTCTTTTAGCCGATTTCCAGCTTTGTTTGTCCAGCGGCGGAGCAAAAGAAGCTATACACAGAAAGGCTCCGCATGTCGCTTTGGAAGCTATTTCAATATCTGCAGTAGAGCCGCGGCGCCTCTCAGGCCCGTTCGGGCGAGAACCACAGCCTGCCTGCAGCAGTATCTCTTCCTGCGATACCGGACCACTTCGTCCCTCGGTCTCTTGAGGCTTCGTGCACGTTCATGCTTCCTCTTAAAGTGCCGATAGGCATGTCGAAACTTCTTCAGGAGGTGGTTGCCGATCCTGAAGCGTACTAGCAGCATCTGCTTCCTCGCATCTGCGAACCAGCTTTTCAAGGCAAACTTGCCCGGACGGACTCGTGACTTTTCCATGGTTTGAGCGGGCATGACTACCAGAAAGTCTGCTGAGCCATTTGCAAGCTAGCGGCCAAGCGGCTTTTGAATGCGAAGCTTCTGTGCTTTGGGGTTTTTAGTTTAAAGGGCAGGCATTGTCTGACTTCAGAAACTCGAAACACAGATTTTTTCCCGTCGGAAAGTGGCACCAGTCGTACCGTCTTCAGCACACTGTACAAGGAAAGCAAGGGCTACACTGTCGGCTACAGCAGGGCTTAGAACTGTAGAGGACCATACGTTTTTGTGGGAACTATACGTGGATTGTAGGGTTTAGGCTTTGTTTAGGGTTGAGGGGTGTCTATAGGGTTTAGGGTGACTTTATATATAAGGTTTAAGGTTTAGGGTTTCCCTGAGGGCAGCAAGGCCACAGCAGGGTGGTTTAGGGTTTTTAGAGTTTAAGGTTTTTAGGGTTTAGGGTTTGTAGGGTTTAGGATTTCTAGGGTTTAAGTATTTTATATAGGAAGGTTCTGGGTTTTAGTGTTTGTTTTTTGGTTTTAAAGTTTTTAGGGTTGTTTCAGAACCTTTCTAGAAGCTGCCCTGTGTGCCGTTGACTCAGCCAGCGGGTCAGGTCACGTTGATGATGATCTTGCGGCCGCGTCCCCGCTTCCTGGCAGGCTCCGGCGACGACGAGGAGGGCGTCGAGGATTTCTGCCGGCGGCGATCCTTGGTCTTCGGCTTGCGAGACCTGCTCCTGGCGCGAGTCCCCTTTGCGGGAGGCTCGGACGAGGAGGGCGTCGGAGAAGGCTGCCGGCGGCGGGGCTTCTTGGTGTGCTGAGACCTGCTCCTGGAGCGGGTCTCCTTCCGAAGCCTCGTAGGCTGGCCGGACACCCACTCGGCAGCAGCAGCCACAGCCTTTGAGGCAGAGTCCCTGCTCTCCTTGGAGACCAGGCGAGCAGCCCCATCTTTCGACTTGGAAGCCTCGCGGGCCCTGTGCTCTTTGAGCTCTTTTCCTTGCTTCACAGCAAGCTTCCAATTTTTCTGCTTCATCGAACCATAAATTTGCCATGCCAAGCATGTAGCATTCGTGTGCATGTGTTGCTCCCGGCCCGATTGCCATCGGGAGATGGACTGCCAACAGATCGGGCACCGATCCCTGTCTGTGCTGGCTGGGCGCTGGCTTTTCGCCTTTGGGCCGTGCTTTGGCTCTGCGGGCTTGCGGGTGTCCTTGAGCGGCTCGGGAACCGACTGTTCTGATCCCGAGCTCTTGCTGCGGGCACGATCCCCTCGGGATCTTCCGCGGCGGCGGCTGTGGTGACGGCCGCGGTCTTCGCGCTTCTCCGAGGAACTGCCTCCGCTCGAGGACGACTTCTTGTCGGCCTCCTTGTCCCCCCTGCGTGACGTGGGCGCCACCACCTTCTTTCCGTGCGGTCGTCCTCGTGGGAGCTTTTGGACCGCGATTCTTTTTCCTTTTCCTTTTTCTCCTTCTTCTCCTTCTTCTTCATAGTTCCCATGCAGATGCACCTGCAGCAGGGCATACATGTACATGTGTATCATATATCACGCATATATGATATACATGTGTGTCTCTATATAAATGTGTGTGTGTGTGTGTATTTGCATATACATATCTATTTGTTTATTTATATGTATACATATATATATATATATATATATATATATATGTATATAATATGTATATATATATGTATATATATATATATATATCATTGTATATACACAGACACACACACACACACACACACACACACACACACACACACACACACACACACACAGACGGCATCCCGCAGATGCGGCCTCCCAGGACGCATCACTCGGATGCCGGTGCAAGACCACGCAGGTCATGCACACGTCGTCGTCCTGCATGGCATCGCGCAGACGCACATGCATATGTGGCCACGCAGGCCACATGTCCCAGCAGTGCTGGCATCACTCAGACACCAGCAGCATGGTCTCGCAGACAACATGCTGCATTGCACCTGGCTGCCGCACAGGCAAGCACAGGAGGACATCTCGCAGATGATCCGCAGATGTGTATGCAGCACCTGCGCCTCGCAGGCGACAGATGGGCTATATGGCATCCCGCAGATACCATTAGTAAAAATATTGCCGCAGAGTGTGTGGCCTTTGGACACCGCCCGGGCGACCATATGAAAGAGCCACATGTGTATGTATACATGTGTGACATGTGTGTCTGTGTGTGTGTGTATGTTTAAGAACTTATGTGTCTATGTATCCTAAACCCATATACCCTAGAAACCCTCAACAACTAAAACCTATATATAGACCCTATAAACCCTATATAAGCCTCACACTTTAAAACCCTAAAATCCCAAAACCCTAAACCCTGGCTTTTATCCCTCCGCATCGGCCTGCTGCGACCGGCGGGCCGGCAACCACACACAGCAGGCTTGAGCAAAAGAGCTGCAGGCACAGGCACACAGGTGGGAGTGCAGAATCACTGGTGTTTGCAAGCCGGTTTGTTTCTCGGAATCCAGCTCTAAAAGGCTCCTGCGATCTCCTATATACATTGCCATGCATGATACAGAGGAGCCATCACTTATGCTTTCCCTGCTATATGGCTAGCCACTCATCGGCGAAGGGAGCCAAGGCGGAGGGTTTTCTTTGGCTCGCTCTTTCAAAATCCTGAGCTTTTGCTCAGGCGAAAAGCCATCCCAGTCCAGGAGCAGGCCTGCCGGAGCTAGAAGCTCTGCTTCGGATGTAACATCGTCGGGTGAGCCGAGATGCCTGGTCGTGGCATCCGAAAAAGGTGATTGAGGCTGTGCTGCCCTCGACCTAGACAAGTCGGCATTGTGAGGTGGCTTCGTCTTGATAGGCGATGCAAAGGTTTCGCCCGCCGTCGTCGACAAAGACACTGTAGCGCCGCAGCCCGCAGCTGTTTTTTTTATCGCGGGCTTCTTGTAGGTTTTGGTTTTCGCCGCCGGTTTCTTCATCATGGCTGCAGGTCGGATTCTGGAGCCTATATATACGGCATGCACATAACAACAGAAATCTTTTAAACGCGGTCATGCAATGAGGCTTTCGTCAAAACCCTGCTGAGTAAACCAGCACATTTTCCCTTCCGTTTGGCACGGGGCGTCACTTCTGCACCTTTCTACGCGAAAAGAACTTAAAAGTTGCTTCTTCTAGGAAGAAGCTGAAAACTGCTTCATCAAATCCTCGCGATAAAAGTTGCTTCTTCTAGGCGGAAGCTGAAAACTTCTTCATCAAATCCTCGCGAATGTCCCAAAGCTTCTCGCGGGAGACACCTTTCTTCACATGTGGCAACAATGCGTGGCAGATGTCCTTGTGGATGCCAGCTGCACAAGACCCCATCACCATGACGTACTTCCCTTGGGAGTAGTCCCAAGAACGAATGTAACTCTTGTTACTGAAGAATTCCACACGACAGTCGCCATACCCCTGGGCATGGAAATTGTGATGGGCAAACTTGTCGTCCGAGCTCGCAGCAGAGGACTGTGCAGCAGGTCGCCTCAGGACTTGTGCTGCTGGCTTTTTGCAAGGAGAGGTCTTCGCAGCTGCCAGGTTGCAAGCGGGTTTGCCCTTGAGTGGCTTCTGGCCTTGCTTGGCCACGCTTCTCAAGTCATCTAGCACCGATGACACATGCAAAGGCTTGGCAGTCGGCTCCGCGGCCTGCTCTTTCAGATCCCTGTCTGCGCCGCTGCTAGGTTCTTCAAGAGCCACGGGCGGATCAGCTTTCGCTGCACTTGTGTTGGGCAAGGCCTCCGTGGAAGGCAAAGGAGCAGGCAGCGGCCGATCCTCAGGCTCTTGGTCTTTCAGGGCCAGCAGTCGCTGCCGTTTCTGGGCGGGTTCCAAGTATTCGATCGACGGCGCCGCCGAAGATGCAGCTGCGCCCGGCCCCGTGGCCTGCGATGCAGCCCATGTCGAAGCAAAGGCAGCAGCGAAATGCCCGAAGTCGCTGCCAGACATCTGCCTTGAGACGGATGCTGAGCCCAAGTCCAAGCTCGCCATACCCCTCTGCAAGACTTTGTTGTTGCCACGCAACGGCCAGACAGCCAGCATGGATGCGAGCTTGGCCTCCTCCCGTGCAGCTGCCGGCGTCTTGCCGCCGAAGGCTAGCTGGAGAAACTCTCTTGGCAAATCTACCAGGTCCAAGGGCAAAGCCATCAGCTGCAAACTACATTTGCCTGAGGCTTGCAAGAACTTCTTGATCACAGCTCTTTTCTTTTTCAGCAAGTCTGCCATGCCGTGTACAGTCAGCTCTGGACTGCTGGTGAGCCCCCAGACCAGGGCGAGTATCGTAGCATTGCTGGCCTCTGTTGGGTTCCTTAAGCCCAAGCGAGCTGCATGCTTACACAGCTGCTCCAACATCGTCTCTCTCAGATGCTCGTCGGGCTGCAAAAGCCCCTGCCATATCTCTGCCGTCAGATATTTCGGCAACAACGTGTAGTCCTGCTGCCCAGCCCGCCCTGTAGACTCATCATCGCCTGTCTTGCTGGCAACCAAACTTCTGAAATCCTCCAGCCACTCGGGATTCCAGAGGTTTTCATCCAGAGTCTCCAAGATGGTCGTGGACTCTGAAACACTGATCACTGGAATTCCTTCTGCGGCTTTCCGTAGATTCGCTGCCTGCCTGCTTTGGATCTCCGGGAACTGAGGCAACGTCCTCAGACCCGTAAGGAACTTCTGGGCAGCTGAAATGCTCTTTTCCAGTTTTTTAGACATGGCCGCCACAGATGCTACACGGGCCGCCGCAGTGCTACCCTGCTCCTTGAGAAATGGCTACATTTCAACATATCTATCCTATAACCGAATCTTATCGAAAACACCTTTAAAAACCCATGGTCGTGCAGCAAACATGCAAAATTTAATGAAAACGCTAAGTACGCTAACTTCTTGCTAACTTTTTTTTCCTGCTCTACCCTAACTGCCCGCTAACTACTCAACTTCTCGATATCTACGTGTTTTGCTAACTTAAGTTAGCAAAACTTATAAACCAGTTAACGTATTTACAACCCAAGTTAGTGGCTTATTCAGCACTTGTAACTAAGTTGCAACTCTGTATGTCCTACGCGACACTGAAGTATGACCCTCTCAAGGGTAAAAATCCTGACAAGGATGGACCCACTGATGGCTCTTACCTCTCACCAGAGGCGTGTCTGACACTGTCGGACCTCGATCCTTCGCCGGTTCTCTGTGAATGGAACGGCCATGTCGAGGGTGATGAGCCACCAGAGGAAGACTTTGAGTCATACGCAGAGATCTTCTCACAAGAAGCATCAAACGATCTTGACGAGATGTGGTGTACAAAAGGGCCTTACAAGGTCATCACCATCGCGATCGTCCATTTCAACTCATACATGACTCATAAGGAAGAACAGAGGCGCGAACTGGTGAACGCGTTCCTCAACGAGGTTCTCCCTTTCAAACCGGATGTAATTGCGGGGGATCTCAATAATATTGCGTCGAGGCTCACCTTAAAAGGTGGAGACGTTCACCCGCGAAACGGTTTGTTTTCTCTATACCTGGAGAAGAAACTTGCAGCATTCAACAGAATAGCAGGAAGGCACTCACAAGTGCGACACCTCTGCTTGAACAACTCTGACCAGCACAGACTGGCACGTGCAGATCGTCTACCGCCGGACCCGGCGAAGAAAGTTGCTGACCTCGACTGTATCAACAGTTATATCCTTGACTGGAGTAAAACGCCGCACACGGCGTCACCTAGTCCAAGAGATGCTACACCTGCCGCCGAAAGAACATACTGGGAACGAGTCTCAGATATGTGGCAGGACATGAACAGAAACAGGGATATCGATATCCGTCTGTTTGTCTCAGTCAAGCAGTACTATTCAACTTTTTCTAACCTTGACCTGTGGTTTTATTTTCCAACGAAACTTCCGTTAGCGCGCGTTTGGGAAACCCTAACTGCGCTGCAGAAAGGACCCTGTGCAAAGCACTCTCTTTTTTCTCCTAGCGGACATGGGGGGTCGGTTCGGGCCCGATCTTCGGGCTATGTCGAAACGATGCCACTGGCATTTCAAACCAAAACTCGACCGCTGGTCGGTGGTAAGGCGAACGACTGGTTCACCCCCCCTACTAGGGGATAACCCGTACCACGGGGAGATAAAGTGAAACATGCTAGGACCTACTGGGTCACTGCAGCTACTAGGTGCTACTCTGCATTTGCACGGCCTACGGCCTATGTACAAAAGCGCACTCTGTGCTGAAATCTCTCCGCGGGAGAGAGCATAGGAGCGCTGCTCCTGGCAGCTCTGCTGCCGAAGCGGTGTCCCGGACCCCGCATACTATACAGGGTGTGGTGGGTGGGACAAAAACTTTTTGGATCACAGATCCAACTCCAAGCCGAAAGCTGCACGGCAAAGTTTGTCTAGGGTCACTCACACACAAGTGAAAACACTGTTTTCCTTTTTCGACAAACTTTGTCTACACTTTCGGCGGAAAATAAAACCCATTCACGCACGCATGATGGATGCTTATTTTCCAACGAAACTTCCGTTAGCGCGCGTTTGGGAAACCCTAACTGCGCTGCAGAAAAGGACCCTGTGCAAAGCACTCTCTTTTTTCTCCTAGCGGACATGGGGGGTCGGTTCGGGCCCGATCTTCGGGCTATGTCGAAACGATGCCACTGGCATTTCAAACCAAAACTCGACCGCTGGTCGGTGGTAAGGCGAACGACTGGTTCACCCCCCTTGAAGGCACTCGAAGCCTTACTCACCCCCCATCTAGTCCGCGCCGAGTGACAAAGCCAACGACACTGCGTTGGGCGGCAAAAATTGGCGCTCTGCGCCAAGCCGTTGTGTCTCCTCCCACCAGTCTCTGCTGGGGCCATCAGCTATATTGCTGTCTGTGGGGACTCGAAAGAAAGCGGCCCTGCACTGCAGGGATTCTTCGAAGTCCACCGCTTGCGAAACTATCGCCGCTCCTTCCACCTTGCGTGTGAAGGCCTTGTGCAGGGAGGTACGCGCTGCGTCGTTGTCTATCCAGACGAACAGGTCGCTGCCTGCTATGTGCTTAGCCCACATTTGGAGGCTGAGCAAGTAGGGCAACAGCTCGCACTCGTAGACGAGCTGCTGCTTCTGAGCTCTGGTGGCCCACTGGGCTGTGACTTGGCTGCTGATCTGCAGCCCCCAGGTGAAGGCGATGCCTTCTCCGATGAGCACTGCTCCGAGGCCACACTTGGGCACGAGTCTCGGGGTCTCCCACTCGCAGGCCCCGTCGATGTACAGGTGCACTTTGCGGCGTGCATGGATGGACACTGTCCTGGGCGGTCCGTGCACGACTCTCTGCAGCAGGAACGCCATGGCCTGGCATTGCTGCTCTGTTAGGGGGACTTGCTCTGGTCCATCCCCAAGGATGTCGCCTACGCAGATCACTGCCATGCGAGTGTTACGACCCCAGGCTTGCTGCTCAGCGAAAATGAGCCTGCCGCGCAGGCTCTGCGCTTCCAAAGGGGGCATGCTTCCGCGGGCGAGGGCCTCGCTGAGGACCAACCCCAGCTCTGCTGCACGGGTTGGCTTGTTGCTCACTGAGACTTCTCCGAGGTGCTGCTTGGACAAGTCCACTCGCACGCCTAGCACGTCAAAGACTTCGCTGAAGTCTGCGTTCTTCTTGGGCTCCGTGGCCACTTGCCAACCCAGCTTGTGAAAAAGGTTGGACACTGCCAACGTGACGAGCTTTGAATGCGCGCTGCGCGTAAGGACGGTGAAGTCGTCAAAGAAGCTTGTCATGACTAAAGCAAGCTTTTCGCGGCCGATGGCTTTGAGCGCTTCGCTGCAGCGGAGGAAAGCGTGCACGGCGGCCACTGCGCCGAAAGGCATGCTATGTAGGTGGGCGATTTTCACCTTCCCACTCTGTGGGTCCAGCATGACTATGCACGCGAATTTCTTGTGTGCGGCCTGCACTGCAAGCTGCTTGTAGGCACTCTTAAGGTCCCAGGTTCTGCCTACAATGCGGTGGGCCCGCTCTGCGGGAACACCTTGGCGAAGCCACTCCAGGCACACTGCAAGAAGCTCGTCGATGCTATCAACTTGGACCTTCTCTGTGGTCCCACAGCAGCTGTTAATGAAGCTGCTTTTGAAGTTATCAATGGGGCGCACTTTGCCCTTTTGAACGACGCCGAAGCGGGACGATACTATCGTCTCGTGCAGCTGCTCTGGCGAGAAGTCTTCCAAAGAGAGCCAGCCCTGCTGGCCTTCCTCCATAGTGCTTTCCCAGACCCTGTCCGAGATCCCGTCTTGCGAGGGGCGCAGAGCGCTGCGAACACCTCGCATACTGATGCTCTGGGCGTTTTCCAGTAGTGACTTCTCGTCTAGAGAAGGGGGCAGAATCTGCACTGGCCACAACCCACTGGGTTGTATCCAGCCAAGCAGGGGAAAGCCTTCTCGCACCTGCTGGGCCAAAGTCTTGTCCGGAAAGTCGATTTCGGTCAGAAGCTTTGCTAAAGCTACTGTCTGCTTAGGCTTGGTGACACTGTTCACCTGAGCGTCAATCGACGAACGTACCTCGGTCTCGCGGGCTTGGCACTCTGTGCAAGTTCGAGAGATATGCATCGATGCCACCGTGCGGCGCTTGGCCAGCAGGACAGTGTCTTCGTGGACTTCGGCGGCAATGGCTCGCTTAAGGGATAGAGGCACTGCCTCGATGTCCCTGGCTGGGTGATCGATCAGATGCGCTCTGCGCACCCAGTGTAGAGGCTGCAGCGGGATGGCGATGATGGCTTTCTGGGAGGCTTCAATCCACTGGATGAGCCTTGAGCCTTTTGGGAAGCAGGTCCACGACTGTGGAAGCTTCTGCGGAGTCTTCCAGCCTCGAAAGCACCGCCCTGCGGGGCCTTGGAGAGTGACTTTGTCACTGAAGTCTGGCTCGTAGCGCAGACGACGCAGTCGCTTGCGACTGAGAGGCGCTGCCTGGAGTGCTGCTGCGCATTGGTCGGCCGCGAGGGAAACCCAGACGGAACTCAACTGAGTAGTGTAGGCGCTTTCTAGGGATGTGGACCACACTGTGGAACCATCCACTGAGGCTCTTCCCCAAGGCAGGTGCTTGTGGCCTCCGTCGCAGTCTCTGCTCAGACCTGCGAACCAATCCAAGTTGGAGAGGATTGCGGTACGCTTGCGGCGCATGCTGCCGAACATGCACGAGTCAAACTCTACTCTGTGAGCTGACTGCAAGGCCTCTCTGAGGCAGGGCATCCTCCACAGGAGGCTACGAGCCGGATTTTCAATGGACCAGCAAACGCCGCGCTGAGACAGGGAGTGGCAACACTGTGCCATAAAAGTGACTAGGCTGTTCGCGCTGCGAACTCGCGCGGCGTCGGCTCCTTTGAGGCCTTTAAGGCCCGCTGGGCGCGCTTCGCTGCGCAAGGGGCCCGGAGCCCCCGGCCTGGGAATCTCTCTAGCTCTGCTAAAGGTGCCGCACGGGGGGGCCCAGTGGACCCATCTCAAATCTTGGTGTGTGCTCTCAGCAAGTTGCGACCCAACTGGGTGCAAAGGTCGAGCTGAAGGACCTTGAGGCCTCTGGCCTTGGTCCTGTGATCCACGGCGATATTCGAGAAGCCTTTCTCGATGGCTGCCTTACTAAGGCGACCGAGGCCGCAGAAAACTTCCACAAAAAGCGGAGGCCGAGGGGTCGCTTGCGAAGCCGGCTCGGGAAGAGGAACGCTCCGAGCGTTGTCTGCCAGCACGCTGTGCTGTTCGGACAAGAGG